CTGTTTGCTTCACTTATTAATAGCTTTCCCACATACCAAGTAGAAAAGCCAGTCCGGCGTAGTGGTTAAGAGAATGGTTACATGGTCTGGGACACAGGAGATCTGGGTTCTAGTCTCCACCCGGCCATGGAGCTAGCAGGGTGACTTTGGGTTGTTCACAGACTCTCAGCCCAAGCTACCTCACGGGGTTGTTGTGAGGATAAGATTAAGAGGAGGAGGAGAGTTATGCAAGCCACTCTGAATTGGAAAACATGGTGGGACATAAATATTTACAATATGCTATGTCATGATACAATATAATATAAGGCATTATAGGATAGACAACTCTTTAATGCTCAATACTGCATATAACATGTAATGGTTATTTGATCCTGTTAACATGCACCCATAACTCAGAACTATAAGAGACACACAGAAAACTAGAACAACCAGATTTTCCCATTCAGTATTCAGAAGGGGCAACTTATTGTACATTTTCTTTTGGGGACATCAGCTTCTCCCTTACACCAAATTGAAAAGGAGAAACCTTGTCTTTATTTATTTATTTAAAACTTTTGTATGTGGTCCCTTATGCATGGCATCTTGGGATGGCTTACAATCATTAAAACAACACAATAAAACAGTAATAAATAACAATTAACCAGAAAAAATACAATTATATAAGTTAAATAAAAACAACTGTTAAACATTAAAATTTAATTTAGTTTTTAAAATAACATTTAAATAAAAAGGTTTTAACCTGGTGCTGAAAAGAATATAAACTTGGCGCCAGGCGCATCTCTCCAGGAAGCACATTTCATAATCTGGGTACCACCGCAGAGAAGGCCCTCCTCCGAGTAGATATCCATTTTAACTCCTTCAGGGAGGGTTCTCGGAGCAGGGCTTCTCCTGAAGATCTTAAGGGGCATGAGGGCATATAAGGAAGGAGACACTACTTCAGGTATCCCTGTCCCAAACTGTTCAGGGCTTTATAGGTAAAAACCAGCACCTTGAATTAGGCCCAGGCTTCAACTGGAAGCCAGTGGAGCTGATAGAGAACCGGCGTTATATGAGAATAATGACCAGTCTCGTTAGCAACCTGGCTGCTCTATTCTGTACCAGCTGAAGTATCTGGACCGTTTTCAAGGGCAGCCCCATGTAGAGCGTGTTACAGTAATCCAACCAGGGCATGAATAATTGTTGCTAGGCAGTGTTTGTCCAGGTAAGGATGCAGCTGATGGACCAGCCGAAACTGTAGGAAAGCACTCCTCACCACCGCTGCCACCTGAATTTCCAGTGACAGCCCTGGGTCAAGGAGTACTCCCAAGCATTAAAGATCTCCATGTTCTACCGACTAAGGGACTGCAGTAGTCAGGTGAGAAAGCATCTTTCAAGAATTCAAATGAACCAATTGTGCTAATTCATATACTGTATACACTGATATATCCAATGAATATTTGCTATCTACCTTTCTGCTTTCATCTATGCTAAACGAGAAACCTGCACATTTTAAAGAACTAGTTTAAACTTTCTCCCCAAAACTATGATGCATCCCAGATGTTCTAATTATGATTGTTTTTTCACCATTTAACATTTTGCCTCTTTACTGCTGCCTGAAATTATAAGTTTATTTATGTTCACATTTCAGCTGAAGAAACACAAGTTTTAATTGTTAACAGATGTAATATTAAAGTATACTGATTATGTAAATGAAGGCAGGGTGTTTGTTGTCATAATCCTAAAAGCTGTATTGCAACTTGTCTATGTGCTACTAATTTGTTTGTTTGCTCCATTTAATCCTCTCTTGATGGTGCTCTGTGGCAACAATTTAAAAATATTTTTAGAATAGCTGTTAAATTACAATGCACCATTGCGTTTTAACCCATATGACCCTAGTTTCTTTACTTTCTTCACTGTACAGACTTGTTTGATGAAAGCACAATCCCAAATAAGGATTTAGTACAGAACAATATATAGCTCTCAAGGAATCAGTTATGATAAAGCTGCATGATATAATAACTAGTGTTCAATGGTTCTAGATTATTCTGTTATTTATTCACTTCAATGTGTGAAAGACGAAAACTGAATTACTTTTGACCTAGAATTTTTCTTTCCTGAAAAGTTTTAATTTCACATCAAATCAGAGGGAAAATAATTGTGTGCACCATGGATGTGCTGATTGTATTTTGTTCTATTTTAAAATGCAGTTACAACGATTCAAATAATAACAGACCATTCTAATTCACATAATAGCACATATCACCTGTCTCTTTTTAAAAGCATCTTTTTATTAGAAACACAAATCAATACACTCAAGGGGCTGCAATAACTACCTTGGGCAATTTGTATTATCATTTCCTTTTTAATGTTCTGACTCTAAGTAACTTATTATTATGAATGGCATGAAAATGGCAACCTGTCACAATTGATTTTTTAAGCTTAAGATTTTTGTTCTTTTTTTAAAAATAATTATCTTCCTACTAAATAAAAGTCTAGCTTATAAAGGAAACCTCAAGTTTCAGCTCATGATAACTGAGATGTCTTTTAATAGCCCTAAGAAAGATTATTGCCCCAAATTAGCAGTGGACTGCATAGATTTGAATGGAAAACTCCCACAGATGTTGAGATACTTTATATCAACAATTAAGCTATTCTGAATAAAGGGCAGACTGTCCTAATGCGTGGACAAATATCTGACATTCTCAAAAATCCCAAGAAATTCTATGAAAGAAAAACATACAAAAAAGGTTAAATGATGTGCTTCATTGCAGTATTCTCCAACAGAGAGTATAGCTATTTAAAACATAATATAGGAACAAGAATGGATGATATATTCATGAATATTCCCACATATATTCTATCCCAAGTAGTGATAACTATGGGTGAACAGAGCTGGGTGATTAGTCTTGCAGTAGGCAATACAGCAAAATACAGAGTGCCCCTGTTTGAAAGAAGAGGCACGACTGTGGGGAGGGCTTTTTCTATGGCAGCCACCTGCTTCAACTCACCAGGGAAGTAGACCCAGAAAAAAAAAAAAAAATCTTAATGAACAGGCAGGATGGGATGGAGAGGATGAAGCAATCTCAGGTATCATAGGCACTTTGATCCTAGGCACCAAAACTTTGAACTGCAAGCCAAAACATATAACCAATGTAATTCTTTTAACTGTGATACATTTTCAAGGTGGCACTTTCTCAATAATAGCCTTGAAGCCACATTCTGAACCAGATGAATTTTCAAAACCCTTTTCACAGGTAGCACCACATATAGTTTATTACTGAGAGCAATCCTGGATGTTACCATAAAACAAATCACTGTAGGCAAACTGTAATTGGTCTAAGAAAGGTCAGAGATGGTACACTTAGCCTAAGCTAGTGCAAATAACTTTGGGCCGCTGGTGACAGTTCAACAACTAGAGTAAGAACCAAAGCCAAAAAGGTCCAGTGTAAGTGCTTGTTCTTTAGGGAGACTATGAGTGCATCCAGATCAGGTTGAATAACACTTCTCAGAATAACATGCCAAACAAAAGAACCTCTGCCTTGGCTGAATTTGAGTCTTTTATTCACCCTAGCCTCTTTTTACTGACCCTAAGTAAGCTGTATCACCTCTCCTGGCTGATGCAAAGGACAAATGGAGCCAGGTATTTTCATTATACTAACAATACTTTGCTCCAAATCTACAGAGGTCCTTTTCTATGTTAAATAGTATAAGGAACAAGGCAGAACTCTTTCAAACAGCATAGCACAATACAACAATGTACTCCTAGGACCATCTTCTGATAGTTGTCAGTCAGGCAGGAGCTAAACCTCTGAAACTTGGTGTCCCCCAATTCTTAACCCTGACAAATGGTTCAGAAGGATACCATTGTTAGTGGCATTAAAAACTGCTAGGAAGTGCAGGGTGATGGTCAAATCTCCCATCCATCAACTAGTTTCTATGATAAATGCAGATCTGAAGTAGTTCTATATAGTTAATTTTATTCAACAAAATCTGGAGCTGGCTGGCTCCCACTCTCTAAGGAACCTCCCTTACTACAACCACACACAGACAAAACAAGAAACAAGTATGCAAACCAAAAGCTAAAAAACACAAAACAAAACAGAAACAACCCCTTCCCAACCAAAAAAACAGAAAAAGTAAAGCAAAACTCAAAATCTGATTGGATTAAACTATATAATAAGTCCTTTTTTAATTTTTTAAGGAGAGAAAAGGCACTGAAGCAGCAGCAGATTGGGGGAATATGGAACGTTTTTACTACATTAACTTTTAGCCCATAGCCACTTTGGTTCCTAAATATATTTTGCTCTCACATTACTAAATCTATAGCAAGTATGGACAATGTATCTCCACCTCCACCCAACTGTTGTTCTCATCAGCCCCAGCAACATAACCAATAGGGAGAGGTGACAAGAGTTGCGGTCCAATAACATTTGCAGTGACCTGCTACCCTACCCAGCACTAAAGCCTTAAGTAGCAATCACAGAATTGTGCTCCCATTCCTTCTTTTCCATAATTTGAATTTATCAGCAACTCTGTTGGGAAATCTTGAAGCTAATATTTTGCTAATAACTTCCCACTTGTAAGCGGAGAGCACTGTAGTGAACACTCTTTAATTGAATCTTCAGCACACTTATAAAAACAGTGTGTTACAAATTTCCCAGATGTTAAGAGCTCAGCTTTCTGCACTGCCTAAAATAATTATGAGTAACAGAACCAAAAGGTTAACAAATAAAGTACTCATAGCACTTAAAAACAGTTAAAAATGTTAAGCTGGGGAAAACATGCTCCACAGCTATAAAACCTGTCCTGATGTTCTTATCTATGGAATAAGAAACAAAGACTACCATATTTTAACAGAAACAACTATAATACAGCAAAATGTAAAATTAAGAGAATCAGTGGGGACAATATTTATGTGATAATACATGAACCTAATTCTTTCTTTATTCTGTAAATATGGTATTTTTGAAAGGAAAATATGTCAACATTATAAAGAGATTCATTTCAGCAATCCAGCCTACCTTATTCTTTGGATTGGAGGTGTTCATTACACTTCGAGTCTCTTTTCCAGTGTAAATAACAACACCAATTACTGTTCCTACAAAAAATAAACAAAACAAATGATTTATATAAAATGTTACCATGGGGAAAAATAACAAAAAAGTGGAACAAAAATAATAGTTTATTTAATTCCTATACCGCCCAATAGCCAAAGTTCTCATCACATAAAATGCAATATAAAATACTAACAGCAATAAATATCTTTCATTCATTCATTCATTCATTCATTCATTCCCATACTTCCCATAGCCAAAGCTCTCTGAGTGGTTTACAACCAAGTATAATACAATAGATAAATATATTAACAAGAATTAAAAATTAATTTTCAATAAAACAACATTAAGAACAATAAAAAGACAATAAAAAGACCCAGCCAAGATTAAAAGAAAGGCATCTGCGTAATCATGTCAGGCCCTTAAATGAGCAGGGAGGTCTTTAAATGCCTCTGCAAAGAGGCACTGAAAAGAGGGCAGGACACAGCAGGACGTTGCTCCAATGATGGCAGTCATATCAAGACTACCGTACAAAATTTAAAACTGAACTTAAAAGTAGCTAACAAAGCCCCAGTATAACAGTAACTATTAAATGCCTTGTGACAGAGGACAGTCTTACCATGGTGTCAAAAAGGTACTAATGCTGGCACCAGGGTTAGCCTCAGTGGGGAGCTTGTTCCATAACTGGTGGACCCCACTGAAAAGGCCCTTCTCTTTTCTTTCTCTAACTGACCCTCCCTTAGAGGTGGCAATGAGAGGCAGGCCCCAGATCATGATTGTAGTGGCTAAGTAGAGTACAATTGGGAAAGCATTCCTTCAGGTATTGGGCTCTCAAGCTATTCAGGACTTTATAGGTTAAAAACAGCACTTAAAATTAGGCTCGAAAGCATGTAGGCAGCCAATGCAAGAGGGTCAGAATTGGTGGTATGTATCCAGACTGGTCCTATTATTAATCTGGCTGCTGCATTTTGCACAAGCTACAGCTTCTGAACAGTCTTCAAGTGCAGCTCTACAAAGAGTGCATTGCAGAAATCAATTTAAGAAATTATCACGGCACAGATTACTGAAACCAAGCTATCTATGTCACAATAGCAGTATAGCTGAGCCACCAGCCAAAGCTGGCACTTCATGTCACTGAAACCACCTGGTCCTTAAGTGACAAAGATGGCTTAAGGAATATCTCCAAATGACTATTTTGCTCCTTCAAGGGGAATGCAACCCAATCTAGAACAGATTGTTTCCTACCTGAGGCAACAACAGTGCTGGCCCATAATGTATTCTCTATGCTCAGGCTTTCATGAACAGCTGGATCACTGTCTTCCTGTTAAAAAGAAAGAAAGCTTGTAAAACAATTTCTCCCACCTAGCCCCAAAAGAAAGGTTTATAATCATAAACATAAATTAAAAAGAAAAGGTGCTTAACACACAAATAATGACCTAAGAGATATGTCCACACACACAGAGGCAGATAAGCTAAAACTAGAGATCTTTTTTGGGGAGTGAGGGGAACTTAAACTATGTTATATTCAGAACTCTGTTAAGTGAGTGGCTACTTTTAAATTGTAATGTTCCATCAATGGATTCTTACATTTGCATTTCAGCACAAATGAGATGTCCAGGTTGCATGGGGCTCAACTATCCCATTCATTCTGAAAATGGGCTACCTGTGTATCAGAGGTTTACTGTACATCATGTCAAATGCATTTTTCCCATTATTATTCCAGTTCTATGCCAAAAGTGCCACTACTTGAACTGGAGTTAGGAAGGAGCAGGAAGGTGCAGGGAGGCAGCCAGTTTTGCGGCAGACACCAAATTATCTGGAGTAGTTGCAACAAGAAGGGGAAGGGAGAATTCTAAAATGATCTATGCATAATGCAGGAATAAGTGATAAAAGGCAACTGCAGCTCAACTTCACATATCTGCTTACTGGGTGTGGGGTGATGACTGACTAGGAAAGGGATCTTGAATTCTGCAGTAGATAGTCAATAAAAATGTCATTTTTACCAGTGTGCATTGCTGTGAAAAGGCCAAATTCCACATTGGGAATCATCAGGAAAGAACATGAACTGCCAATGTCATAATGCTTCTTATACAACTTGGAATACCGTGTACAGTTGTGGTCAGTACACCTCAATGTTCCCCATAGCTCCAGTCCTTAAACAAGGCCTGTTACTGAATTATTTGAGAGCTATTCCCCCCCACAAAAAAAAAAAAAAAAAAAAAAGCCATGAGGAACTGTTTATACAAATGGTGTCTGTCATGCAGTGTGGCTTGTTTAATCAATGATGACTGTGCAAATCAATTCTGTAACTTTAATTGCACAGCACAATCACCCATCACAGACAGCTAACCATAGTGGATTGTCATATTGTCCTGAACAAGGCACAGAGTTGGGTGGCTTATTTTTCCTGAAGAATTCACCAGGCAAGACTATCTATATCAGACAGCAATAAGAAATGACTTGCGAAACATTGACAGTAATAATACTAATGTTTTAAAATTATGAATTGAATAATTTTACATTTAAATTAGGGAGTCAATATACAAACAAGTGAGGAACCTATAGGCCTCAGTTTTTCTGTGTAAATTCCAGGTGAGCCATTACTCAGAGTCCTTTCACCTCCTACCTCTAGTGAGTATAGTCCATGACTTTTTGTGAAAAACCTGTGGAGCTCCTTGCCCAACCTTCTTTTCTGATTGCACCTTTTTGAAAACTTACCTCTGTAAAGAATGACAACAGCCTTGTCTTTCAGACTCATGCAGTTAGGAATGTTTTAGGAATTAGGAACCACCATGGACCCAATTGGACCTGAGTACAGTGGAAACTACATTTCTCAGGTAAACGTTGCAAGGGAAGAGTGCATTTTGGAAAAAGAAGATCTGGCACTATAGTGACTCATTAGCAACTGGGCATGAGCTAGAGTTATCAGTTTGACTTATACAGAACCCATTGGAAAGGATGCTTTCAAATTATTCTAAGCTTCCAGTTATGAATTTTAGCACTATTGTTAATCAAAAGAAGATAAAGCTATGTGATCTCACATTCTATCTCTACAAGGAACAGTTAGGTATAGGCATCAGTATTCTGAAAATGTAATGCTCAGAGTGATTAGAAAATATTTGACATTTGAAAATTCAGAAAGTAGGTTTGTGCAATCATAGCCTCCTTTAGAATATCACTGATCCAGCCTACTTAACAATTAATACACTATCCATTTGATCTGTTTGGGAAAATATCCTTGTTGGGCTGGATTTTTGCAATGGGAGTAGTACTTTTAAGAAAGACCAGTGAGACTGAAAATTTATACTAAGCTGGAATATACTTCTTCTGTCCACATCCTTACCCATTTACACTTGCCCCCCTCTTTTCCCTGACATATTGAGGAACAAGCTGTGTGTGACTGTAGCAGAAATGCCTTTAAACATGGTCTGCCTCATGCATGTGTAAAGCACAAGAAGCGGACTAAAAAGTGAGGGGGATGAGTGGTACTAAATCTTACCAACTTAACTAAATCTTACCAACTTAGGCTTCGGCAAGGGGCAGCATAGAAATGTTTTAATAAATAATAAATAAATAAACTCTGTTGTTCTTTCCCCAGCTAGACTGAGTCCTGGAATCTTGGCCCAGCTAGGAGAAAAGTACCTAAGAAAGAGACTGCAAACATCAGCTAACTGCTTGCCAGGAATGTGGTGAGTGACTAAATTCAACCTACTCCTATTCAGCCTCCCAAATTGCTGATCAGCATGAACAGTGCATTTTAAAACATGAATATCATATGGAACCTCAAGTGCTGACTCAGATAACGAACTGACATACATTCATTTATATCAACAGGTCGCCATTTAACTAAAGCTGCTTCTACAAGTTGGATGGGTTCATGTACTTTATGTACAAATGGAAGTACATAAAGTATGCATTGAAGCAAATGTTTTTTGTTCTATAGACAGGATAAACACTGGTTTGCCCTTTAACATCTCTTTTAATATCTCTAAACTCTCTATATAATTTTCTGGTTATACTGTGAAGCATACCTCCACGCTATAGGCACTGGTTAATATTTGGTTGCACTTTCTGCATTGCACAGCATCTTGAAAAACTGAATTGTTCACCTGAATTTTGGGACATATTAAATACACATCTGAAAATTACATTATTTTGAAGAAGGAAATGTATTCTTTTTCATGCTATGAAGAACCATACATATGGATTGTTTTGAATAAACAATAAGCAAACACCACATCTATTTCTAAACCATGTGCAGCATAGTCCTCATAATGGCTGCCAAAGTCCTTCTGAGAAATGGCATCATTGTTCACTCTATATCACCAAGTGTTCACTATTTGAATATCCTCAGCAATAAGTCTTTTAATAAATTACATAATTAGGAAACAGGACATGCACTTATAATTATAACTTACCCGTGTGAAGGTACCCTCAAAGCTGTGAATATCCATTTGTGGCTTCTGAGCATACACATATGCACTGATTGAAAAAAGATCCTAGAATAGATAATTTTGGAATACATAGTTTAATGATACTAACTTCTTAAAAACTGAGGACAAGATTTCTTCCCACAGTCACCCTTTATCTGTTTGTGACACTCCAGATGTTTTGGGTTACAACTGCCATGATCCCTAGCCATTGAGGGCACTGGTCAGGGTTAAAAGAGTTGCACGTCAAAACACCTTAGGGCCACAAGTTGCCCAGTCTACTCCTATATGGATCCTTCCACTTCAGTGCACAAGTGTAGAAGGAGTTTACCATGGCATTATAAAGAACGCAAAGTGTCTGTGCACTTCTCATATGCCATTCACATTTTTCTTTCTATGCTACTCAAGATTACTCAAGATTATGTGAAAGGAGTAATCATACTGAGTATTTTTATTTGTGCTGCAACAAATAATTGTACTTATATGACCTGTTTAAGTAAAGATATTTACAAAATATTTGTAAGCAGTGTCACATCTAGAATATCAGTCCCTATACAACTTTACCATTTTACTGTCACAGAAGCATTGGATTTAATTCTGATCAAACATAAGAGACGTAAAACCTGATAATGCATAAATGACATTTAAATGCAAGTGACAACCTAAAGATGTGTATTTCTGCAAAGACTAGTCCAGCTCAAGAACAAGATACATGCCAAATATATCAGGTATGGTTTTTGTTCCTTCTTCAAAATATTTGCTAGCAGGTGTTATATCCATTCATGGTCACTATTTTGAGGGGAGAATTGCAATTTATGCAGGCAGGTGCCTTTAATACTTAGCCCAGTGCAATATCAGAGGATGGTAATACATGTGTATTCAAATTCACATTGATTTTGAGATGCATCTTGTGAGGTCCTCAGTTCATCATGGTTCCTCACTTTCTATGAAGTTTCCTATAGAACTTTCCCTGGCTAACTGATACAGCATTCTAGCCTTCATCATTGCTGTGGTAATATAATTTTACTCTTGTAGTTATTTAATTAATAAAAACTACAAAATTCTAGCACACAGTATATAAAGTTCTAAATATACATTTTTAAGGAAAGCAGACACAAAGATCTAACATAATCAGGAATTAGTTTTAATTTCCATTTAGTTATAATGCAACTCTAACCATATCCTCAACATCACATCTCACTAAATTATTTATGCTTGCCCAACTATTTTATTCATATTTTAAGAGTGGAAATCAGATTTCAACATCTTCTATTACAAATTATCTGTTTTTATGCTAAATCATCAACCGTTTATTGTAAGCTTTCACACAAACTTCCATTCAGTGCATTCTTGTTCTTCTAAGTTAGTTTTCATCAGCCTCTTGAGAAATAATTCATATGAAACTAATACACATGAGGTGTCCTATATCTTCATCATTCACTTTTGCTCAATCTGTTATCACCTACAATTTAGATAATCCAGGCTATTATGTGCTTTATTGTGCTCAGAAAAATAAGAGTCTCAGTACAGCAGAAAACTAATACCACACACATACTTGTAATACAATAAAAACTATTAATGAAGTAAATCAGGCACTAAAATTTTCTTCCTTTAAAAACTTCTAAGCTTTGCTGAAATTGTTATCCTGTAAGCAAACTAGATTGCTTCTAAACTTTTTCTGTCCTCTAAAAAAGCATAGCACTTCATCAACAATCTCTCAAAAGCCAAAAAGAGCAGTTATACCAAATACCTTCATGTCAAATACCAATATAACTGAAAATTAGGTTTGAAGTATTAAGTAAGTGAAAAATTACCCTAGACTGGTACTATACCTTTTTAACAATACAATTTATATTTCAGCTATAATTGGAACTAAAATGTTTATAATGTTGTTTACTCTCATGTGATGCTATCTATAGTTGTATATATAAGGAAGTTGAACACTTCCATTTTTAAACTGTAGAATAAAATATAGCAAATTGGAATTAAATCATAATAGCAAATTATAAGATTTTTAAACATGACTGAGCCATTACCTTTTATTTACATTCCATTATTTTGGAAGCATTCATCCAACTATTTGCATAACCCATGAAACAACATGATGGCACAATAATGACAATGTTTTTCTCCACAGTTCACAATAATAATTTCGAAATCACTCTGGCATTATCAATAATGTAGAAAAACCTCCTCTATTAGGTCAAGGGCAACATTTGTTCACCTTACTTAAAGATCATTAAAATACATCCTTAATCATAACATGCAGTTCATTACAAATAAAATTGCCTTTGGTTCAATAAAACTAATTAAATGTAAATGGTATTGTTTACTGTTCTATGGATCTTTTGATATAAATCAGCAAGTCACCATTTATTGAAAATTACAGTGACCTCATTGCTGGTAATAAATTTACTTGATCACTTAAGTCAGAGAAGTCTATTCTGGAATATGCATACTGCAGGAAGGCACTATTCCACATATGACTATGAAACGAAGAAACCTAACCTGGGTGTTACAGTTCTTACAGCTCAGCCATCATTAAATGACTTGTTGAAATTTTAATTCTCTGATCACATTAAGTGGTTTGGGAAGACAACAAAATCTGTACTGATCATCTTTGGTGGTGTCATCTGTTCTTTAAGAAAGCTCTAAAGGTTTGCCGGTTTATTTATTCTGAGTGTCACTGTGGATAAGGTTGCAGTCCTACATTGATGATGGAACTGACAGCCCATGACAACACAAGATACAATCCTTTACATCAGATAACTACAGAAATCAAAATGAATGACAGTTATGGACAGTGTATGTTAACTACATGACCAATTGCTTAGGGCCGCATCTATGCAAGCCTCATTTCTTTCTTTTAAGCACTACTGTATGTTTTCAGAGGAATGCACCTTTTCCAGGTTTTAGGATCCAAGACAAGATGCCTCTTCAGGTCCATCTTTTTCTGCTTGATTTTTAACACTATTCCTTCCACCTTGTTCAAACCTCGCTTTTTAAAGCAAAAGAAGACTTTTAAACAATTTAGCTCTACTATAATTTACTAGAAAGGCCACATGCTATTCTAAAGGTCATGGATAAATCCTGGCTTGTGGCATTACAATATAACTGAGCCTTACTTCAAATTAAATTCTGCTGCCAATACTGTGGGTTAAAGACTGCATAGAAGCCATGTTCTTTAAGCTGGAAAACCTTACTGATCCCAGGTGTTTGGTTACCTCTCAGGGAAGAGGCAAAAGCACTCTACTTATGCTCAGAATCATAAGTTGACATTTGGATTAGTCTGCTAACTACTACCCCAAAGGATAGGTCACAGGTTGAGGCATAAGAGTAATTGAGATTAATTTGGTCAGCAAAGGTGTAAGCAGGTCATATGTACACCAAAAACTCACAAACTTATTTTATGTGCCCTTGCTTGCCATTTCAGAGAGTGGAACAAAAAGACTAGAGGCTTCTGCTACATCTCTCTCACAAACATATCACTCTTCTACATGGGGAATGACAAAAACCAACCACTTCACTGAAAATGGTACAATAATAAATGATTGAATCATGGATTTAAACTCGAAATCCTAATTTCTTTTAGCAATTTATAGTTCCTTTTAATATTCAAACATACTTTAAAGAATTCATTTAGGAATATCTCAACATTCAGACCTGAAATGTTTAGTTTATCATTCCAACATTATTCATTGCTCTAAAAGAAACTATTCTGTTCTCTGCAGCTTGCAAAAGAAACAAGTGGCAGATTGCTCACAGATCTTGTGTGGGCAAAATTATACCAACTGCAGTGATGAGAACTGCAGGGAGAGGGACTAGCATGAAGCATCTCCTCAGCCATTTTAGCAGCAGCCCAGCAGGTGGCATTCAAGAATTACTGTAACATAGAAATCAGCTCTACCTAAGTAAATGCAGTCCCTTTGCTTTACATACTAAATAGGAAATCCTATAAATGATAACAACTTGTAGAAGGGGCTTGGATTATTAGATATAAAATGTTAATACATTCTTTGTCAAGAACCATAGAATTCAGCATTAGAGTTTAAGTATACATACACAATTTGAGAGCTTTTAATTATTATTGTTCCTAAAAAAGTTGGCTCTGCTGCCTTCCTTCTAATTCAATTATTTGGTACCTTATTGTAAGAGTGGGGAAGATGTGGTCCCCCTGTTCTGTTGGACTGCAACTTCCACCAGCCCTAGCCAGTATTAACCGATGGTGAGCAACAATGAAGTTGGACCCAAACAATATCAAGAGAGGCACACATTGCTACCTCTTCCCCAAGGAATGCTGTAGAAAAGGCAGTGCAGTCATCTGATAGTTTGTTACAGCAAAACAAAAACAAAAACAAAACCCACACACACACAATGCTGTAGAATCCATGATTTCTAGCAGCATGCAGTTGCACCTAAGCTTGGGTGTACCTAAGGTAGTTCTCTGGATTACATGTGTTGGTCCTGAAAAACAGAATACTGAACATTATGCTGGAATATTTTGTAAATAAAAGAGGAAATAGAGAGAGTCCAATTATTTTTGGCTTTCAAAAACTAATTTAAACATTCTTATTTACTTTATCTGGCCAGATGGGTATAGCTGTCCAGAAGTGCCTTCATAAAAGACCAACTGTTATTGGTCTCATCCATCTGTATGCTTAAGGAGTTCAGCTTGAAGATAGAAATCTCATTCCCACAGTTACTAGAGAGTAATGTCCACTGAACAATGCACTAATAGTGTAGCTTGAGTACTACATTATAGTTTGTATAGTATACTTGATAGTTTAATAATGCTCTTCTTGCTTTTTGAAATAGTGATTGAAATAATGATTAAAGTGAAGAAATATTGGCTATACAGTGTATTTTCCTGAAAGAGGCATTAATTTTTATACTGAAGCTCAGTATTTGTTCAATATTCATATTAATTAGTAAATTAGTCTCTGAATATTAATAGAGTGCTATAATACCTAATGAAATCAGTACACTATCTTGTATCCAAAGGACTATTTAATTAATTCTGCATTCCTCAAAAGACTGTGGACCTAAACATCAGTGCCTTCTTGAGCTTCTACTTCTGCTGCATGAGCCATGTTTATAGTACCTATTTGGCAAGATCTGTACACATTAACATTTGTTTCCATTTGAGAACAGCCTGTCTGCAATAACTGTTTTTAAAACTTTCTCCAATTTCAAAATTAGAGCATGAGCTTGCTAATCAATGTAATGGCCTCTGGATTAAGCAAGAATTTGCACAGTTCTTTGGATTCTGTTCTGTTTAAAATATTTATAGTCCACTCACCCTATGCATAAGATGGCTTACAAGCACAGTTATGAACAACCATTATTTATATACAAGATAATAAAAACAAAAACCAGGTATGTTTTCCCTCTAAAGAGCACTTGTGGTACATTATGGAAGAATATCTCATACATTGACAATATTACAGTAGTAATTGCAATGTTTCCTTTAAAGATTGCAATTAAAAAACCCATAACAATAACCCATTTATTTTTTCACATGTATTTATTAAACTTGTATAAAAGCTGCCTATTAGCAAAATGCTATATGTGTAGCCATTACAATAAAGTATCAATAACAACATAATATAAAATAGGACAATTAAAATATTCTTATAAATAGATAAAATAAAATATGTATAATCAACAAAACATTAAAATTAAAGATTAAATTAAAATTAAAACCAGTGCCATCATTATAAATAGTTTATGTAGTGCCGTAGGTGCATTGAAACAGAAATATTCTTGTCAGGTGCCTAAAACTCAATAAAGTAGGTGCCTGACGAATCTCTGATGGCAAAGCATTACACAATTGGGGTGCCACCCCTGAAAAGACCCTTCTCCTTGCTACCTTCCCCTTAACCTCCCTAAGGAGAGGAACCTGTAGGAAGACCTATATGACACTTGCTAAGAAAAGTTCCCAGGGAAGATTACAAAAGCAAAACCAATACATCAAAGATAAACCAGAATACCTAATACTATATAAAAACCTGTTGTGGATGACAAATAAAGCCACAGCACCACTAAAAACAAAAACAAAAAAAAAAACCCCTCACAGGAACCACCAAACAAAAAAAAAAAAAAAAAAAAGATTAAAAATTAAATGACCTTGGGAAATAAAAAGAGGTGCCAGGAAAATAAAAAGTAATCTCAAAAAGACTCAGACATAGAGGCAAGTCACTCTGGAGAGGGCACTGAATAAGCATAAAGCTTCTACTGGGATGGCCCTAGGAGCTCTCTGCCTCCAATTATTTGGCAGGGCCATTCAAAGGCTTGGGCTAAGTATACACCAGAAGAGGTGATTATTTAAGGAACCTGGCCCTAAACGGATTAGGTGTTCAAGCCAAGCACTTTGGACTGGCCAAGCAGCCCAGGCATATTGTTACAGAAGGTACACTCACTGAGCCTTCCCTAGGAAACAGTTACTACAACTGATAGGTCATTGATTTCAGTGGTTGTTAAGTCAAGTTAATGTTTCTCATTGCCCCTGTACTTAATGCTTACAGATGGTCTTCTATACATGATGCAGTTTTGTGATATGGAAATAATGAACTCGTGTGCTCCAAAACATGTAATGCATATGGTACAATGAAACAAATAGCTACAATGCTTACCCCTAAAGCTGGTAATCTCTGTGTGCAACTAACAGCAACTTTTAGTTTCCAGTCTGTTTCACCATCTAGCTGATCAGTTCGGATAAAACATGAACCTTAAAATTGCAAAAGAAACAAAAACATGACAGATGTTTTAGATCCCATTATACTTCATTACTGAAAGGTTTTATACCAACACTTTAAATTCAAGTGGAACACAGGGAGACAAACAGGAAGATCCCTTCAGACCTGGTTCAAGAGTCAAATACTTGCATGGGTAAATCTTTGTCTGAGCTCTACTCTGCACTCAACTAAACTTTCACAGGTCCTTTTAGACTTTACTGGGTTCACTTTTAGGGTTCCCTAGAAGTCCACTAGTATTTGTAACTAGCAAACCATTGTTACTGCAGCTAACCCTGTTTCTTGCTCAACTTAGCTAGGTTTTGATGGAAAGGTGAAGTTTGGCTGCTTTGAAGTATTTCTGAAGATCGGTGTTTACTAAAGAACTGAATTCCCACTAGGTTCAGAAGAATGGAGAACCTGGACTTACAGCAGTTCTGAACTTCAAATTTCATTGTTTTCAACACTACTAGAACTCAATGCTACTTCAGGAGTGTACTTTTTCTCTGCTCCGAGAAAGGCAGAAGCAGTAGGTCCCCTCCATAATAGTAGTAGTCAACTTAAAATTTGGCAAAAGAATGAAAAAAATGCTCACTGGCATCACCTCATATGTATTTTTTTAAATGAGACTTGAACCTTTTTTTCATTGCTAAGTAAATGCTTGCCCGTAGTCTGCTTTAATTGCCAATGGGTCAAAACCAATGGAAAGACTCTTGGTAATGTTTCTGCTTGTTGTTCTCCTCATTGTGAAATGCAATATGTTCTTTTTTTCTTTACTGTCACTTAAAACTAAGACTTCATAGCAGCACCAGGAGACTTTTTGATTTAACCATTTTTGAATTGAAGCAAAACTGCCCTATCTAGATGCATAAAGTTTAATTTGCCTGGCCCTGCCTTCAACAGAAGGAGTTTTTTTTACCTGCACTACTGCCTTGTTGAAGGGAAAAACATCTTTTGAAGAAAGTGATTGGCCAAATGCCGATCATTATGTTTTATTTAGGTGCCTAACTCTGAATGAATTTGAGTACAATAGAGTATATGGTCCGGCTGTAAACAAACTCTAGTTAAACCCTATGTTTATTCATTAATGCCTGCTCAGTTAACTAACTGCCTAGGACACAGTTGAGATAGAAGGCACTTGAAATTATATATGACCTAAAGGTAGAATGTTTACACAATAGTGACAGAAAAACTTACAACTGGCCCAGTATCTATACTGTAGTTGGCCAATAACTGCACTGTGCTATAAAGCATAAAGGAAATAAATCTCAATTTGTAGACACTTTTACTATTACTTTATTTCAAATTTATATAAACATTTTCCAGCCCTGAAACAAACATTTGCTCAAGTCAGAAAAAATAAGTAACTACTTCCAGAATATCCAAAGCACACATAGTTTTTTTCTAGACATAAATCACTGAAACTGAAAACACTGTAAATAAGCATAACGTAATGTGAGAATACCGTGCTTCCACAGTACATTCTAATCAACATTTTATTTTCCGTCATACTTCCCCTATACAAGACATTTCATGGTTCTCTTTACCCTTCCTGTCAATGGCTGCTCTCATCCATCAATTTCATTTAGAATTATACTATAGATCAATGCGGTTCAAGACCAGTGTGGCTCCTGTGAATGGTTGACTGCACATATATTCATTTAATAGAGCTCACACTATGACATGTATTGGCCAGCTGCATTTCCTCTCCACTTCAGCAGTTAATTTCATCAATAACTTATCTCATAGTCCGTTTCCCTTTTATCCAGAAAAAGAGACTGCTTTGTGCCAAGTCAGCTCTCAATAGTGATCACTACAGCAAAACCTAAACAATAAAATAGCCAGGCATTTTGAAATAATTCTTTAGCACTATCGGCAAGACTTTTCAATGTATCAAAACATATTAAAATTTGTGTAATGAAGTTTAAAAAGTGTAAAAATTAAATGGGCAGCAAAGATCATAAGACAAATAATTTATTAGTAACTACTTTACTACTCGTAATTAAAGGGCTTGTTACAGATTTAATCATATTTAAAATTCACCCATTGAAATCCATGAGACTTGTTAAATCATGACTACCTTAAATCTCACTGAAAATTGAGATTTATTTCTATAGCTGTGGTTTTCTACCACATTCGTTATATTTATACCTAATATTTATATTTTAAAAGAAAGCATGGACTTACATTTATACCATGTTTTTTGCATTTTTATACTCCAGAGCTGAAGAACAATGAATTGAAATAAGAGTTGAGTAGAGACAGAGAAAAATTCCTACCTAATATAATCTAACTCTGATAAATACATATTATCGGGTATTCTTTGAAGTAATAAGAGCAGCAAAGAAAAAGTATCTTACTATTTTGATTCATTTGTCTATCTGCCTGCCAACTGAGATTTTTCAGGGTCATCTGAGACTTGTTACACGTTGACCCTTTGGAAAGGGAACCTGACAAAAGCAAGCTGTAACATATTTGCTAGGCCCTTGTAGGACAAAACCTTTTGTATCTTCCAGGACTCATACTTCAATGTTATAACAGATCAATTGGCTGATGTACCCTGAACAGAGCCTGGTCCAGTTTTCTTCAATGAGTTTCAACTTGCATTATTACTATTATTTTCATTTCTCTACCACTCCATAGCCAAAACTCTCTAGGTGGCATAGAAATGGCGTAGCTCAACTAAATTGTCAAGTACTTGGAAACATGGGCAAGTATGTTTAACTATTGCCATATTGGCTAGATATCTGTCTTGACTAGCAGGAAGGGAGCAGCTGAGTTGGCCTGGAAGCTAATTAATGTCTCCTTGAGAAGGGAATGGTCTCTTGCCTTGTGAAACAGAGGCCTCACTTGAATGACACCCTTGTGGATCTCCCAGGCTACTGGAAAATGTTCCCTCCTAGCAATGTCCTTGAGCAGATGGTGGCCAACCAGCTCAAGGAACTCATGGTTGAGTCTGATTATTTCAATCCTTCTCAGTCAGGATTCAGGCCAGGTTTTGGCATAGAAACAACTTTGTTGCCTTATTTTTGGAGAAGGAAGGGGCAAGTGCAACCTCCTTGATACTTCTGGAACTCTTAGTGGCTCGTCCTATCATCCATGGTATCCTTCTGGGGTGATAGTTTGGGTAGGGAGTAGAGATGTAGAGGCTTAGAAAAAAATGAGGAAAAATAAGGAAATGTTTTTCCCCTAAAAATTGGGGAAAATGGATAATGGATTATTTTCTTTCAGAATGATGAATAAAATGTTTCAGACATACCCCCATAGCTTCCTAAAAGCTATGTAAAATATATTTATGTAAGATTTTATACAATAATGGATCATTACAATTCTTGTGTATCATTATAATTCTTGCGCACCAATGACAAGCAAATTCTAGCTTGTAAACTGACTTTAATTCTCAAATGCAAGAGCAAGATGCATTTCTGCCTCAGGGGGGCACTGCCATTATCTTAAGAGAAGGAATGTTTCAGATTCTTTGCCTGTGGGCTTTCTTTTGTTTGTATAGTTAGTGGATCTGTTTTTGTCACCTTTACTAGGTTTCAAAGACTGCAAGAAAGTACAGAGCAACAAAAAGAAGCTGAAAGTATACTTATCTGAAATGTAAAAATTTAAATGTATCTAAATTCAGAAAATTGAGCCATATTTTAGCTGCATTAGTTTACCTTCATAACCTATGTAAAACTTAATGTTTTGTTGCGACCCCACCACCCCACTGTAACTTGGTGTTTACTGGAAATCTAGCCAGTAAATCATTTCCTCTTTCCTCCTCTCAGCAAAATGGTGAAACCAACATCTAGCATATGGAACCATTTCCACACTACAAGCTTTTCCGAGAGGTGGAAAAAATGTGATTTACAAATACTGAAAAACAGAGCTTGAATTTTCAAATTCTATTTCCTTTGCTTATTGGCAATGCAAGTCATATGAAAGAACAGAGAATACCATAATAGTTAAGTATCTATGTATTACTGCAATAAGATGTGCATGTCATGGGCTAAACTTGCTTCTAAAATGACATTGTCAAATTACGCAAAGGGACTTTCAATCTGTAAAGGGTGCTCATATTGCATTTTTTTAAAATTAGACAGTTTTCATTAGCAGGCAGTACGGAAATTATAGAAGTTGTAGTAGTAGTAAGGATAAAAGAAAAACATGATTGCTTTTCCAAAGAAAGCTTGCATTGCTGGGTCCCATCTACAGATATGACTACACTAAATTTGGCCAAAGCTGGCTTATATTTACAAAAAACCTGTGCATAGCTTTTCATGGTGAATCTTTGTAACTCTTCTTTTCAAAGGAACTCTTTTCCTTTCATTTGAAATATAATTTGCTAACTAAGGAGATCTAGCATGGGGTAATAGTGGAACACAGATCACCCAAGAACACAGGAGTGGGACTTGGGTGATCTGGGTTCTAGTCCCTGCGCAGCCAACTGGGTGACTTTGGCCAGTCACAGACTCTCAGTCAAACCTATTTCACAGGGTTCTTGTCGGGGGGGGGGGGGGGGGGGGGGGGGGGTCGAGATTGAGAACAAGAGAAGGAGCATGATGTAAGTTGCTCTGAGTTCTTTGCAAAGAAAAAAGGAGAGATATAAATCTAATAAATAACATAAGGTCAGAATTACTGCCTGGTTTTCCCTGAAAAATACATGAGACAGATACCATTTGTGCATTAGTGAAATGTAATTTATTTATTTAGATTTGCAGAGTCCCCAACTGACAAACACTCTCATAGTGGTCTACATAAAAATACTTTTTAAAAAAATAATCATGTAATAATAAACTCATTTGCATAGGTCACATAACTTGCACATATATGCCTGGCTACTTCTGTTTTCTCTTAAAGAAGGTCTAGTTCCTAATTCATTTACAAGGTAATAACCAGAATTCTCTTTATACTTTTCTCCATGGAAACCTTGAAGAAACCAATCCAAAGGCAAAAATTAGCAGTTTAATTGTTTAATCAGAATAAAGTTCAATGGGACTAACTCTTGCGTAAATGAAAATTGCTGCCTATCATTTTAATTTAGGGATCATGGTATATAAACAGTAGAACTCTTTATAAAACAAGGCAAATAAGCTGAGCTGAGTATATCTGATTGACATTAAGGAAAAAAAGATTAGAGTCATTGGAGAGAATGCGCAGTTAATCAGGAACTATGTGTCACAACCTGAGGACACTTTCTAGTCACCGATGGCAGCCAGGTGACATGCTGATGAAATGTTTAAGCAATTATCATTCGGTTTATGTTTATATCTGACCATTTTAGAAGATTCCACTAGCTTGCTCATTCAGAGGCTAGTATAACTCTACAGTTTGAGATAATGCTTCTGATCATGCATAGTATCATCATTTCAAGCTGCAGAGTCTGTCTGGAAGGCATGTGGAGTCTACCAGGAAATATGCACAGTCTTCTGCCACTAGTTCTCATCTACTCTGAAACACCTAAGAATTAACTTGATTGTGACTGGGGTGAAAAGCGGTAGTTGTCAGGTAGTGTTATTACAATATTAAGTCAAATACAGATTCATATGGGTCAGGATCTATCTCAAAATGGGTAATCTCTTTCCTAGAGACAAGTTATTTTTCCAGCTTTCTATTCCTTAAGAAATCTTCTATTTTCCTTCTTGCTACTAATTAATTAACAACTATTGTCATACAACTGCAAACCATTTTGCTTTTCAGTATAAAAATATTTATTTCCTGTAGAAATGGATTTACCTAATCAATTTTATATAAAAAGATGAGATTAATTGCCTTGCTGTACTAAACACACTTCCACTTGAAAAATTATGAGAATTAGCAGTTGATTACCACTGACGAACACAACTTTTGTGAAAGTTCTGAGTTTTTAATTTCAAATACATAAATAAAATGTATTTATCCTAAATATTTCTATATATTCTATACATGTCATACATTTGATGCTGTATGTTCCTCAAAAACATGAAATAGTTCTAACCTCGCATTTAATAAACTGAGAAAAACATATTTGAAATAAGGCACTCCACATAAAAATGTATTCAGGTTAATATCTGTTGCATTATTTCAGCTTCTTTTATCTCTGCACAATAAATGTAGAGAAGAGTATCCCAAGCAAAATATTAAGATATTTGGATGGTATAAAAATGAAATAAATATTTAGGATGCTAGGGAAAAAATCAAATGTACAATGCATCCCATAGCCATTATCTAAGTGAAAGCTTCGAAACAATCAGTGAACTTTAGAAAAATCTTAGTACTGATTCTAAGACTGAATTATTAATTAACAACTTCATGAACTGAAGGTTCTTTCATTTTTCTAATATCCTTTTGTAATATATTTATGATCAGCAGGACTAATAGAATGCTGGAAGAAAGGAATGATCTAGATCAGGAAAAATGGTATGGTAGGAAATGAATAATTTGTCCAACCTCTGACACTGCTGTTTGGATCAAATTCAAAAGTCCTTCACAAAGGCATTTATGTACAATGCATAGTTTGGCCTTAACTGGTAAAGATTTATGAAAATGGAAAAGAAATTGCTAGGCAAACCAAGCTAACAATGATGTTAGTAACATGTTCTTTGGATACGGGTTCAACTGAATGGGTTTAAGTATGTAAAAGTAATTAACTTCCCCAAACCATTTGTGTATACAGTATCAATGTGCTACTGGCATTGAAAAGAAATGTATTGGAACCCAACACTTTTAACTTTCTTGTTTTAAAAAACTGATCAGGAACAATTCATTGAGAAGAGCTGGAAGAGAGAAAATGTTACTAAAAATACTGGGTAAAATACTGGTTACTAAAATACTGAACTTGAATTAATATTGTAGGTCTTGAATCTATTGCTGGTGCAGATACAATCTTTAAGGGATATGGGGATGGATTCTTAGAAGAGAAAGAACATGGGCAATGCTTAGTTGAAATTCTGAGGCTAGTTGACTTGAGATAAGATGGAGAGTAGCAGAGTCAAGTAGTTTAAGGTACCATGGGAATCCAGACTTAGCTTGTTAATGAGGAAAAAGACTTTACAGGCATGACTGACCTTAGGGAATCAGAATTAAAGATGGGTCCACTAAAGTGTCAGATGTTCTAAGCAGCTGTTCCTAAAGCTGCCTAAAAGAACCAGCTTTAAATGCAAGGTTTGGGACATTTGAGTTTGGGGGAGTGGGGAGGCTCTCAGTTTGGAACCAACTCTTTACCTCTGAGGTCACACTTCCCTAATGGTCTGATTATTTGGAATTCCAACTATGCCTATTTATTTTGTTACTGATTTCGACAATATGCTTAATTTGTACTTTAAAGACAGTCTTCCTAGTTTCCACTACCATAATAAACCTTATATAGAAGGTCTTTGTGTCTGCTGAAGGGGAGGAAGGGAAAGAGGGAACGATTGTGCTGTAATGTTATGTCCGTGGTGCAGCAGAGGAGATGCACATGCAAATCTGGTACATTCTCAACAAAACTAGAAAAATCCACATCAGAGTTCTTGAAGGAAAAAAAAATCCTTACCTCAGAGGGAAAGAATGGAACTCACCTGACCTATTCTGAGACATTTCTGGGGATAGAACAGATCTGAGCTTAGGCACTGGTAGTTTTAGCTTCCTAATCATTTTAATAAGGGTCTAACAGACTCTGCTACAATATTAAGTTTTTACACACACACACACACACACACACACACACACTGAAAAGCTGAGGGGTTAGATAAAACAGTACAAGGCAAATGAAAATGTTATTGTCAAGCTGTACATTCTGATCCTACATCCTGCTAATGACTTTTTAATCAGAATTAGGCTTCTGGTGTTATTTCAATGCTAGTCCTAAGCCATATTGAAGACTGAAAAGTTGAATGCTTAGAGAAACAAGTCTATTTCACCTTCACAATTGTTCATATGGAATACAAGAGATAATGCAGTTTTGATTCTAAAGTCCCTCTGTGAGATACAGTTCAGATAGGGAGTATCTTATGAAGACATGAACTACTTTGTTTGCACACATACTTCATTATGAGATCTTGGCTCATCAAACATAAGCAAAGCTATATTTTGCTGCTGGTCCCTTTCTGTACAAAAACTATAGCAATGACTCCTAAAATTTCCATAATTATATTAGTTTTTAAATTTACTTTAAAAAAAAAGCAAAACTATGTTAATATGCTTTGCTTTTATGCCACTGTGCAACCAAGGCTGTACAAATAAAGCTATTCTGTCTGTATTCTCTCTCCAGTGTTGTATCTGATAAATTTTTCACAAATGAGAACATTAGCTACAACTAATGTCAGTTAAGCCTCACCAAAACTGAATTATTAAATCTGCCTGCCTGTATCCTGTTACAGCCTTCTTATGAATACTTGATTTTATTTTGTATAATTGACAAGAGTTGTCAGGAAAGGGTGGTTTTGATGGCAATCAAATTAAGATCAACTGGTGTAAGTGTCACAATGAAGAGTCTGTGTCAAGTGCTGATGAATTAATTGATGGGTCATTGAGAAATGAGACATGTGAAGCTTTCATAAAGTGTAATAACTTGCATTATTAGCAAACTGCTTGCTCTTCAGTCAAAATTCAAGAACAGAACAGAAAAATACTTCCCTTACCAGCAACTTAGTTGTAATCATTTATAATTGTATATGTGAATATTTTTAACTAATGACAAGCACTATTTTGAGGTTACAGTTTCATTTATGACATTAAAAAAAGAAAAAATCAGCTTTCGGACTTTGCTGTAAAGAAGAACTCAAATATATGCACCAAATATTTACAGTATAATACTGTCACTTGGGACATGTTGAAAAACATATTGGCATTTATAAGAGATTGATGGAAATTAGTTCTAAAGCATTAATTTTTCCTAATACCACTGAAAGTACTATGTTCACTCAAGAGATATTTGATCTGAATTAAGAAACTGATGAAGCAATTGATTAATTGGAATTTAAGCCATCAGTCACTGGATCCATCAACAGATTCATTTACATTCTAAACAATCAGCTTATGGTCCAATAGGATACCATGTATTAATATACAGTCAATATGATACCCCTGAACTCATCACAATTCCTTATTGACAATACAGAGTTGCTTTTAATCCAAGCTTGATCACACTGAATATATTTTAGGTTTCTTATATCGACTCTGCACGTTTTGGGAATTTTTATTTTATGTTCTTATACATTACAGAATTATTTTGCATTCACTATTCATTATCAAGAGAAAAGGGGATATTTAAAAGACCTTCCCATCATCTGTCCTACGATTTATATTCTTTTAGAAGCAAAAGCACACCAAAACCTTTATACCCTTGAAACAGTGTGAAATCAAAGCTTTTTGAAATATTTTGTAGCAGCAAATAATTCATTTTGCAATTATATGTAGTTTTTCCTAAGCATAGTGCAGGTATAGCACAGAAAACTACTGCATGTCATTTCTGGGTCAAACAGAAAACATACTGAAGTATTTGGCACAAAATTCTAAATTGGTTTTAACTGTTTAGGCTTAACTGTTTCGGCTATATAAACTCTTGTTAAATTAAGCCTATAACCCAAGTATACTTTCTAGGAATAAAGCCGTAGGATTGCAGTGTAATTCTCACTGAGTAAAAATATATTAACCAGTCGTTGATAGCAGTATTCCTATACCCACATTATCTTTAGAGATACATTTGTTCATGGAACTTTCTTCCTGCTGGTGTAAGGTATGTATCATTAATATTGGTTTTCAGGTCATACTTCTGAAAGATTTATCAAAGGCTTGAACCTTCTCTATATTGCCAGCCACTACATTGCACTGAATTTATATTTTACTGTGCTTAAAATGATGTGTGTTGCTCAGGTACTGTAATGTTAAGTGGTATACAAATATTTTAATTAAATAAAAAAAATCCTAGGTGAAATATTGGACACAAAATAAATCAGTTTTGTGCGCCTGCAGTATGAGAGTCCTAATTTGTCAAAAGAATTCCAACTCTGGTCAGAATTAACTCGAAAGGACTGTGGGTGTTGTTTTGTAAACAAAGGCATGCACAGGTTTTTGTTTATTTTTACCAAATCAGAAAAAGCCTATTTCCGTACTTTTAAAATAATATAACAAACAAAAAAGAATTTTTGAAACAGGTGAAACATCAAGGTATTTTTCCTATCTTTCTTTGAGACAGTGCAGAGGATAGTAAAGATGGCAATTAATTTAGGTATTTGGCAGATTTACTTTTCCATTCATTCGAACACAAATAAGGTAGACCTGTCATCACTTAGTAAGATAGATGTAATTTTGTTTTTAAATACAACTGACCCCTAGAATTGTCACGAAATACAATTAAGTAAAAAGTGGTTCAGGTTGCCAAAAGTAAGCTTTACAAATATTCTGAACTGCTGGGGTGCACAACACCCCAGCAATTCTACTAGGCTGAGGGGAACCATTAAAAGAATAGGGCCCAAAAGACAACAAATTAGATTTCATACAAATAAAAAACTGTGAAATTTGTCTTTGATTACTACTGTCTTGAGAAGTAATTTCTTGCCTTATGAGTGGGGAACATGAAAAAATTGTAGCATTATATATGAAGAGTATTGTTGAAGGGGAAAGACTATTCTGCCAACAAACACTGCCACCAGAAAGTCACTATGTTCTTTTTCCGATATAAGCACTGTGGGTCCTGAACCACTTTGCTGCAGCAGGGAACGCTACACAAAAACAGACAAAAGTCAAAACCCTCTGCAACTTTTGAATAGAAGCCCAATATTTACATAGAACCCTAATGCTTACATAAGTAGTAAGCAGTTGTGTGTTCAAGGCACTTAGTGTGATCCAACAGTCCACCTTGGGTTGTGGCATATGCTGGTGGCTATTCTGAATATTCATGTTGTGATCACAGCTTACAGTGTTATCCAAACCCAGGAATTGTGGATTACATGGGGGTTAGGCAAATCAAACTTCCTGGGCTGAATTGATACATTCAGGATATTGAATATGCAGGAAGATGCTTAGGGATGCAGAAGATTAAATAATCTATAACAAGCCATGGCAACTGTGTAAACCCAGTCAAGGGGGTGTCATGCAGAGGTGGGCTGTGACCTTTTTTCCCTTGCGGTGGAGGGTAGGACACATTCCAATGGCGCAAAGCTCAGGGAACCAAGATTCAAGGTGGATGCCAGGAAATACTTCCTGCCGGTTAGGACCCCTAGGGCACAGAATGGGCTTCCATAGGAGATAGTTGAAGCCTCATCGGTGAGGGTGTTTAAGGACATGCACATGGTAGGCACATCATGAGCAGAGCCAGCTGGAGCTGGGGGACAGACTAGATGGCCCAGGAGATCTCTTCTGACTCACTCTCTATGTTTCTAATGGATTCCTGAAGGCCCTGGGGGAGTTTCCGGCTGACAAGACTGGTGCTCCTGTCGAGGCTCTGGTCGAACTGTGGAACGGGGAGATGACCAGGGCTGTTGACACGATCGCTCCTAAGCGTCCTCTCCCGCCAGGCAGAGCCCACTCGTCCCCCTGGTATACACCTGAATTGCGGGCGATGAAGCAGGCTGGGAGACGGCTAGAGCGTAGGTGGAGGAAATCATGGGATGAATCTGACCGAACACACTTGAGAGCCCATTATCGGGCCTATGCTGTGGTGGTGAGGGCGGCGAAAAAGAATTTCTTTTCCGTTTCCACTGCCTCCTCAAAATGCCGTGTGGCGGAGCTTTTTCAAGTGGTGCAACGCCTGGTGCGTCCAGGTGCTAAGAAAGATCTGGTTCCTCCCTCGAAGGCCTGCTGCGACGACTTTGCCAAGAATTTCAGGGAGAAAATCGCTCAGATTCATCACAAGCTGGACTCTACTAGTGACTCAGAGGTTTCTGGGGAGACATCAATGCTGCCGTCTGGTCCAAAATTAATGGATGAATTTCAGTTATTGCGGCCCGATGATGTGGACAAGGTGCTTGGACGAGTACGTCCCACCACTTGCCCATTGGACCCTTGCCCATCTTGGTTAATAAATAATTCCAAGCACAGGATTGGGATCTGGATCTTGGAAGTGGTTAACTCCTCTCTGAGGGAGGGTCAGGTACCTGCCCCTTTAAAGGAGGCGGTAGTCCGACTGGTCCTGAACAAGGTGTCACTGGATCCAGAGATGGCCAATAATTATAGACCAGTGGCCAACCTCCCATTTCTGGGCAAGGTGTTGGAGAGGGTGGTGGTGGGACAACTCCAAGCACTCTTGGAGGAAACTGATTATCTGGACCCATTTCAGTCCGGCTTCAGACCCGGGTACGGTACTGAATCTGCCTTGGTCGCCCTGTACAATGACCTGTGCAGGGAGAAGGAAAGGGGGAGTGCATCCCTGTTGGTTCTTCTGGACCTCTCAGCGGCTTTCGATACCATCGACCATGGTATCCTTCTGGATAGGCTGGAGGGATTGGGGGTCGGAGGCACTACTTTGCAGTGGTTTCGCTCCTACCTCAATAACCGATTCCAGAAGGTGGTGCTGGGGGACTATGGCTCTGCACCATGGCAGCTATGCCATGGAGTACCGCAGGGGTCCATTTTGTCCCCTTTGCTGTTTAACATCTACATGAAACCGCTGGGAGAGGTCATCAGGAGGTGTGGGTTGCGGAATCATCAGCACACTGATGATACCCAGCTCTACCTCTCATTTTCTACCAATCCAGGTGAGGCAGTGGCTGTACTGAACCAGTGCCTGGCTGAGATTATGGACTGGATGAGGGCCAATAAACTGAAGCTCAATCCAGACAAGACGGAGGTCCTATTGGTTGGCGGATCGGGCTTCGGAGAGGGTGTATTGAACCTTGTCCTGAATGGGGTTGCACTCCCTCTGAGGGACAAGGTCCGCAGCTTGGGAGTGCTCCTTGACCCAGAGCTTTCATTGGAAGCTCAAGTGACAGCAGTGGCGAGGAGCGCTTTCCTTCAGCTTCAGCTGATCCATCAGCTGCGCCCCTACCTGGAGTACGACTGCCTGGCGACTGTGACACAGGCTTTGGTGACTTCCCGCCTTGACTTCTGTAACACGCTCTACGTGGGGCTACCCTTGAAGACGGTCCGGATACTTCAATTGGTTCAAAATAGAGCTGCCAGGTTGCTGACGGGGACTGGGCGTTATGTTCACATGACTCAAGTCCTCCGTCAGTTTCACTGGCTTCCCATTGAAGTCCGGGCCCAATTCAAGGTGTTGGTGATGACCTATAAAGCCCTAAATGTCTTGGGTCCTGGCTACCTGAAGGAGCGCTTACGTCCATATACGCCTGCCCGCCCCCTGAGGTCTGCAGGAGAGGCCCTTCTCCAGGAACCCTCCGTGAAGGAAATTAGGAGGGTAGGTATTCGGAGGAGGGCTTTCTCAGCAGTGGCGCCCAATCTTTGGAATGCGCTCCCCAGAGAGGTCCGCCTGGCGCCGTTGTTATTTGTTTTTTGGCGCCAGGCGAAGACCTTTTTATTCAAACGTCATTTTAATTGCTAATATTATTTGCTTAATTCTTCGGCCAGGGCGATTTATTTTATAATGTTAATGTGTTTTATATTTTTAGTGTTTTATATTTTAACTGATGGTTTGTAAGCCGCCCCGAGGCTTCGGCGAATGGGGCGGCATAGAAATTTTTAAATAAATAAATATACTGGCTGCTATATAAAGAACCACATGTAGTTTTCTACATACAGCACCCTACTTTTTCATTACAGGGGTAATATCCTATGTTCCTGATACTCCCCCTCAACCCCCATGAAGTGCCATTGAAAGAAAAACTGTCTCTCTGAATTCTGGCCATTGTATTTTATAACAGTGCTATAAAGTGGATGAATATTGTGGCTATATTACAGCTGCAGCTGGAAGGATGAAATGGAGAAAAGGTGGCTTGTCTAAAGAAGCAGAGCCAATGTCTTTGCTCGTTAACACAGTCTCCTAATCACCACACCACATTAACTCTTTAAATATTAGCATATTAAGTACATTATTAGTATACCTGATATTCCACCAGGGTTCATGTATTAAACAATAGGTGGAACACATAGAAGCAATATTATGCAGCGGCTTGAGATAGGTGTCAAAACATTGCTAGCCTGAGTTAAATCAAATGTTAAAACTGGAATAGGAACTGAGATACGGTAACAGATTAAAGTAGTTTGGACAGATTGTTGGCAGTCACTCATGCCCTGAAGATAAAAGTTTATTTGGCTGTATGTGCAAAACTTCACTCTAGTCATTTGTCATTCTCTGTAGCAATACATTTCCCAAACTTCTTTGTTTATTTTAAGACAGGTAGGTTTTAGAACGTATGGTTTCTAAGCATAATAGAAATTTCCAGAACACATGCCACAACTATTACAGCCTTATTATTCTGTAGCAGTCTGTTCAGAAAGAGATAGAAGGTGACATCTGAGTTGAACAGCTGAATTTTAAAGTGATGCCACATTTTCTTTGTAATTGCATAAGTTCAGAGTGTCACGCATCTCTGTACAAAAAAAGCACCCACAATAATTTGTAATTTATTATAAGTTGTAGATGCACCAGACTACTAAATAAAATTGTTAAAAATATAACATGTCATATTCTTATAAAAGGAATGTTTACCTGTTACAGCACTGAACACATGTGAGAAAATCCTGTTATTTTTATAGTAAATGGACTGTATAATATAAATTTTGAACTACAGTTTACTTTGAGGGAAGCATAACTGGCTGTAACTGTAATGAGGAATACAAAGAAGTACAGTATTAATTAGTTTTTTCCTAAATCACTACATTTACTATTTTCACATATAAAGAGAATAAAACTTGACATAGTATTCCTATGGATGGCAAGGTATCCTCCTTTATAGTTCACAGTACTCTGTGTTACTAATTGGAAGTCTAAGTACTTTTATGCAGATAAATGAACATTTGCCAATTTGGTCAAAAGACTAACTCACTACCCAATCCCATCAACACACAACTGTCATTCAGCAGATATACCTTCAGGCTACAAAAGTGGCATAGAAGAAAAGCAAGGACACCACTGCCCCTCCTGAGAAGACAGTGCATTAGGCTTTTCCTTTCCCAGATCTCTCATTCAAAAGCTATTTCATTAGCTGCAGCAGAAAGGAACTGATAGGTAGTAGGGCCAATCTATTAGATAAGCTAAAAGACCAGCAATTTTAACCGTATTTGTTATTACACAACACTAAAGAATTTATTCATATTCCTTATTGCAGAATATGTTACACTGTCTGTAGGAAAATCATATTTAAGAATCAATATATGAATTTATCACCTCAACTAAGTTAATACACTATCAACTCAATCCTGTGCTAGAAATAAAGCATTCTGAAATTAATGGAGCTTACCCTGTATTAAGTGTAGTAGGATTGAGACTGAAGTTAGAATATAGAGCACTATGACATGAACGATCAAAATCTTTTGCATAGAGGTACAAATTGCACAAAAGCTTGCTTGCTTTTATTTCGGTTCCTTCCAACCCAGTGCCCTCTAGATGCTTTGGAATTCAACTCTCATCATCCCCAGCTAGTACAGCCAATAGTCAGCAATCCTCTGAGTTGTAGTCACAGATGATATGGAGGACATCAGGTTAGGGAAAGCTGTTCTATATATACTAGTACATGTGATCTGATAAGCAAGTTTTGATCCAAACAATGTTCAACAGAAGGCTACCTATACAGCACACAGCAATTCCAGTTAGTAAGCCAACCAGGTATCAACAATGCGGAACAGCTCTGCAGCTCTCAGGCAGAGAAGGCTGGTGGTGGATTAGCAGTCAGGAAGAAAAGGACTATGGCTGTTTCAGCTCCCTCTCAATAAGAGTATAAATCCAAGCTAGGATGACAACACATGATAAATGTGGCAACCCCATTCCACTAACAACTAGCCAATTTGTGTGCATAGCCTTGAAAGGAATTGCACCTTCACAAGAATATTGTGAAGGTAGCCTAATTTTTTACATTCCCAGTTGAAAAGTAGTTTATTGAAGGAAATGGCTTCTAAGCAAGTAGACTTGTAAGCTTGTCCCAATGTTGCATAAATATGGCTTTCTTTCTCTTTCTTACCGTTATATAAAGGCTCTCTTATTGAGCCAATGTTTTTTTAACATAAATACATTAAAGCAAGCAGGACCTGCAGCATCATAATATAAATTTTAAAATGCTGTTTTTATTGGTGTATATATTACTCTGCTCTAAAGCATCCATGTAATAAGACTAGAGACTCTAAACATACCTGTTTTTTCTGAAGTTCTCAGAAACACCATGTCAGATGGGATTCGTTGATTCTGTCAAGGAACATTAGATAGTTTTGATTTTAAAAGCACAGATTAATTCAAACCAAAACAAACTTTTAACAAGGTATCTCACATTAAGGACTTACATTCATGCATTTTTTCAAAAAATACACAAACTAGAAATGTGTCATTAGACTACTGTTCTGAAGTGATTTGTATCTGTGTCTCTCCTTTTCTCTCTGTTAAGCACAAGAAAGACTTGGGTGTCAAAAAAAGGATCCAACATTATTACTGAGGCTTGTGCTAGCCGTTTGCTTACCTTCTGACAAAAGTTCAACCTAGCTGTCTTAGGGATACCACTTGTGTGCTATCTTTACTGTCCAGCAAGTTTGCTAGAAATATAAGAGCAACATGTATGCACAAACCACCCTGCATTCATTTTCGACAGCTTGGGGATTCCCAATATTTATTTTGCAAGCAACAAGGTTTACATATATTGTTGACTGAATATTGGATTCAAACTATCAGTGATTAATCGATTCATACTTTCCTTTTTTAGAAGATTGGAAAGCATATGTACATGTGTTTATTCATCGGACATATTTATAAACCCACCCTTGCATTCCTGCAGATGCTAGCATAGTATACAAGGAGTACAATCATAAAAATAAACAAGTATAATGCATAATAAAGGAATAAACACATAAGTCTCATAATAAACCAGGAGAGTCAGCAAATGGAAAACCAAATAAACTATGCTTAAATTGCCCGGACAAACATATATATTTTAGCCTAGCGCTAGAATGATTGCAGTGGCTGTGACATACTTCTAAGCACGAGAAAATGCTGCAATCATGGGGCCACAACAGAGAAATCATTCCCCTTTGTCAACAAATAATCAGCTGAAGATGGGGACTGATGAGTGATACTGCATAATTACTAGTTAGATTGTCATGACTGGCACAGCGGCACAACTGCCAAACTAGCAACCACATACTAAATCTTCCTGTAAGAAAGTGCCTCAACTTTGGTTCAACTTCTTGTGTTGGCCATTAAATAACAGAATAAGTGGTTGCCTGAAAATACTCTTGGCTAAAATAAAACACAAGATTTTATATCATACAGAGTTACAAAATTCCAGTGTGCATCTTATTGAATAAAGAAAGGCTGAAGGGTCAACATAACACGGCATGGAAGATCCATGGTTTCCTTCTGTAACAGTGACTTGGGTTGCCAGAGGCTAAGAAGCATGGTAGTTGGTGAGGTGTGGCAGTCAGAGTGCTGAGCTGGGGAGAGCCATGGGAGAGCCATGAAGCTCAGTAGGTGACTTTGGACCAATCAAAGACTCTTGGCTCAACCTACCCTCTCAGTGTTGCTGCTGTGATGAGAAAATGGAGCTATACAAGCAGCCCTTGGTTCCTCACAAGAAGAAAAAAGGCATGATAGAAGTAGAATGTAATAATAATAAAAACATATATTACAAAGTATCAATTCTTACCTTTTGTTGGATGCATATCACAACCCGCCCTCTAGAAGGGCAAGTGTACATGTTGACTCTATCAATTTTATACGTGAGACCTTACAACCTGTCCCTAAAGATTTTCCGGACTCACATTGCCTATTACCTTAGAGCAGTGATGGCGAATCTTTTAGAGACTGAGTGCCCAAACTGCAACCCAGAACCCACTTATTTATCACAAAGTGCCAACACGGCAATAAAACCTGAATACTGAGGTTTTAGTTTAGAAAAAAACAACTCATACATTAACAACTTTGTCTTAAAAGAAAAACACAATAACAGAGAGAAGCCATGTTCATATTCAGCGCCCCCAAGTCGGGGGACGCCGGGCTTGCTTGTGCCCGGGCACGTGCACTCCCTCCCTCCTTGCCCCCAAACCAACCACCAGGAATGCTTCAGGAGCTTTGGCAGTGCTTGAAAGTTTACCGGAGAGGCGGAATTAGGAGGGGAGAGACCTAAACTAAAGGTGAGGCGAGGCTATCACTGATCCCTTCCACGCTTCTGTTGGGATCTTTCCTGAAGCGTCCCCACAGTGCTGCCAAGCCTTGGTGAGTGGGTCGGGTAGGGAGGGGAGTCCCCACCACGCACCCACTCCTCTCACTTCGCAACAGTTCTAGCCTCCACTTTTCCTCATTTTGGCCTCCCTCCCCAGGAAGCGCCATATCGACCCCAGGCTCCCTCTCTGTCCTCCTTGCTCCAGCTGCTGCTGCTGCTCTGCTGCCTCGACCCTGCCACTCGCTCCCTTCGCCCAGCTTCCCCTCCCCCGTGACCACCAGCACGGGAACCCAGCCCAGGAGCAAGCATGCGGGCAGGCGGGCGCACGGCTGCCTGGCTGTGCCTGCGGCTACCAAGTCGGCAGGGTCCCACCACTGCGTTAGGATAGTAGCTTGGGTGGCCGCTCACATGCTGCGGGCTGCGAGGAGGCGGCGGCTGCAGGAGGAGGGTGCTGCCACCAGCGCTTGGCACACCCCCTCGCTGCTCGCCCACAGCTGTTGTGCCTGCCTCTGGCCACCTGTTCAACGCCGCCTCCTGCAGCAAGTCGCAGCTAATGAGTGATGTCATTGCCTGGCGCTGTTACTCTTTTCGAATAGGTGCATGGCTGCTGGGGCGATACTGGGGCGAATTGACTCGCATGCAGACAGGGAGGGCTCTGTGTGCCTGCTGTGGCATGGGTGCCATAGTTTTGCCATCACTGCCCTAGAGCATGTAAGCTACATAAGTTAGCTAATCTAGGTCAAATATTATCAGTTCATTCATTCATTCATTTCTATAGTACCCGATAGCTGAAGCTACGGATAGTTTGCAATAGAAGCAAAAATTTCTTTATTTCACAGTATTTTGTTGTTCTCTGTGTTTTATTAATTCATATATTTTGTAAATCTCAAATTATTCATTCTAGTCTGTTCTAATTCTAACATACCTTCTCTCTTCCCATGTTACTGTCTTGTTCCTCAGATCTGCTAAAGCAAGATTGGCAAATTCTGCAGTCAAAAGGTACAAATATAGGCCATGGGGAGCATGTAGCTCATGGGCCACATGTTATCCACACTTGCTCTAGGATGTGGTGGGTAAAGATTGCAAACTGGTAGTCTGGCAACTTGGTACTCCAAGTGAGATCCTATCCCCATAATGCTTACTACTCTTCTGGTGAATGAACAGGTGGAGGCTTTTCAGGTGGATTTGATTCAAATGGCAAAGCCGGGATAGTTAGACAGCCGTTTAATATGGCTTACCAAGTGACTTCCAGTGACCTTCTGTGGCACCCAACTAAGAATAGGTAGGGTTAAGGTCAGCAAGATTATTACACTCACTTTTTAAAATTTCAAAACAAACATATACAGCTGCCAAATTGTGCCAATCTTTTTTCCTCTCTACAACCAACAGCAGCTTTTTGCAATGGGGTGTTTTAGATCTGGGAAGCAGCATGGGGTAAAAGGTTAAACCACATCTAATCCGCACATTGCTGCTTAGAAGTATCACTGTTTCACAGAAAACCTAAAGTGAAGTCATCTTGTAACAATTTAACCCTCAATATTTAAGCGGTGCGGCTCAGGACTTCATGGCCTCCATGACGGCCATGGGGCTGCCTCAAAATGTCATAGGCCCGACCCATGAACGTGGACACACTCTGGACCTGGTTTTCTCAACAGGGCAGGAAGAAGGTGATCTGAGGGTGAGGAACTTGTGTCTGACACCCCTGTCATGGTCAGATCACTTCCTCGTGAGGTTTGAGCTCGAGAGCGGCCTCTCTCTCTGTAAGGGTGCGGACCCGGAGCCGGATGGATCCGGATGGATTCCTGAAGGCACTGGGGGATTTTCCGGTTGATAAGGCTGGTGCTCCTGTCGATGCCTTGGTTGAACTATGGAATGGGGAAACGACCAGGACTATTGACACAATCACTCCTAAGCATCCTCTCCTGCCTGGCAGAGCCCGTTCATCCCCTTGGTATACACCTGAACTACAGGCGATGAAGCGGGTTGGGAGATGTCTAGAGTGTAGGTGGAGGAAATCATGGGATGAATCTGACCGAACACACTTAAGAGCCCATTATCAGGCCTATGCTGTGGCGGTGAGGGTGGCGAAGAAGAAATTCTTCTCCGCTTCCATTGCTTCCTCACAATGCCGTCCAGCGGAGCTCTTTTGGGTGGTACAGGGGCTGGTTCACCCGGCCCCAAGAAAGATCTTGTGCCACCCCTGACGGCCCGCTGTGACAACTTCGCCAAGCATTTCAAGGAGAAAATCGCTCAGATTCGTCACGAGCTGGACTCTACTAGTGAATGCCAATGTTCTGGGGAGATGCCAATGTTGTCATCTGGTCCAAAATTGATGGATGAGTTTCAGTTGTTGCGGCCTGATGATGTGGACAAGGTGCTTGGACAAGTACGTCCTACCACCTGCTTACTGGACCCTTGCCCATCGAAGCCAAGGATGGGATAGGGACCTGGATCCTGGAGGTTGTCAACACCTCTCTAAGGGACGGCCGGATACCTGCCCCTTTAAAGGAGGCCGTAGTCCGGCCTGTCCTAAAGAAGGCATCCCTGGATCCAGAGATGACTGCCAATTATAGACCGGTGGCCAACATCCCGTTCTTGGGCAAGGTGTTGGAGCGGGTGGTGGTGGGACAACTCCAAGCACTCTTGGAGGAAACTGATTATCTGGACCCATTTCAGTCCGGCTTCAGAGCCGGGTACGGTACTGAATCTGCCTTGGTCGCCCTGTATGATGACCTGTGCAGGGAGAAAGACAGGGGGAGTGCGTCCCTGTTGGTTCTTCTGGACCTCTCAGCGGCTTTCGATACCATCGACCATGGTATCCTTCTGGATAGGCTAGCGGGATTGGGAGTTGGAGGCACTGCTTTGCAGTGGTTCCGCTTCAATCTCAATGGCCAATTCCAGAAGGTGGTGCTGGGGGACTATGGCTCTGCGCCATGGCAGTTATGCCATGGGGTTCTGCAGGGGTCCATTTTGTCCTCCTTGCTATTTAACATCTACATGAAACCGCTGGGAGAGGTCATTAGGAGGTGTGGGTTGC